GCATTAAATAATATTTATTCTTAATATAATTAAAACTATTTATACAAAGATCATTTAAACAGTTTAAAAAAAAAAGTTTTATAGTTAATAGTTATTTTCATTTAAAACGTTTATTATTATTATTATTATTATTATGGAGTGTACGAGGGTCAAATGCCCTAAAATGGAGTAATGTCTCATCAGCAGAAGACAGAAGACAGCACACATGGAAGCCTTTCCCACTTCAACAGTGTTGAAGGAAATCAATATGCAATTTTCTCTCTGAATCTGCACTGGATCCAAAAAAAAAATCAATTTTCCATTCCTTCCACCTGAGCTTCTGAACAGCTGGGTCAACAGCTTTTGTTCCTCAGACGACAGTAATTAAACTACTCAGCCTGAAGACTCTTAATGACTTAGAGTTGCATTAATAAATCTAAATGAATGGAGATTTAGCTGGTGAGTGGCAAGACTTAAAAATGAAAGAGATGCATGGAATAAAAAGAAATCAGAGCTTTCTTTGGCATTAAAATGCGGTCTCAGTTCACTTTAATCTCAGTTCGCTGTAATTAAACTTTAAAGGTTCTGTCTGTTACTAATAGTAATAATAAGTTTATTTTATATAGCACCTTTCTGTAAACTCAAAATGGTCACTTTACAATGTTATAACAAGTAAACAACAGCAGGCGAAAGTAACATTAGATGAACTAACAATGAACAATTTATTAATACACTGGAAAAATGGTGTAGAAAATAAATGGCTATTTTTCACAAATAATTACAAAGAAACGGCAAGTAACTTTGAAAAATAATTTTTACAGTGTGCTTTATTAAAATCAAAAGTTATAGTTAAAGTAACGTTAACAGACATTTAAAAATACTGTAACAATTGTATTTCATTAACTAATGACTTAATGTGAAGTGTTGCAATTTAAAAAATATTTTTTTGAATTTGTAAATAAAACAGATTATTGGAATACATTTTACAAGAAAATACCCTTTCAGTTGTTCTTAAACGTGAAAATTTCACATTTAAATGTTACTTGTCACTTCTTTGTTATTGTAAATTTTACTAGCAATTTTTGAGTGAAAGTTGTTTGTACACAATTTTGTTTTCTTCACTGTACTAAGAATATGTATTTTATTTTTCACGATGGAAACTGGTTTGGATCAGGAGATGATCTTGACTTGTTTATCTGTCCCATTGATCATACCTAACCTGCTATCAAGCGTGCAAAGATCATTTAAGAAATGTTATTACTCATAACTAAGAATAAATGTAATAGTATTATGTCATAGTCAACTCTAGATGACCTATCAAAACTCTTTCCATTATTATTTTTTTTTTTTACAGCAGTGCGAGTCATTAGAAAACGTTGCACAGATTATTGTCATAACCAACTTAATTTGAATATTTTGCAAATAAGGCCTGTGGAAAAAAGTCCATATCCAGCCCTGAGCTAATATAATATAAATGTTAATGAAGATTTGTGCAGTGAGCTGGGAGATGAGTATTTATAATGCTGCAAAACCACTTTAACTTTTGGATATGAAATTGGATATTGGATTCCTTCTTTCCTTTTTTGCAGGAGGATATAGTAACACAGCCGACTGTAAAATAAATTAGGCCAATACTGAGTAATGAAAAAATGTGACTATTTGGCGTATTCCTATCAGTTTAAGCCGATATGAAATTTGAAACCTGTATAATTGCTTTCAGTCTTATTTGGGGAATGGTAATGCAGCTGGAATCCATCCAAATGCAAAAGTTTCATTCATAATGCATCCATGTATAAAATAATGATAATTGGATTCTGAAAAGTATTTTGTAAACAACAAATGTCATGCCATGTCCTTGTGATTTTGTTTAGGCTACGATAAAGTCATTGCATATAAAAATGTTGCTGCGAGATTTCACTGAAAATAAATGCAAATATGGCTGTCATAAGTCAGTATGACAACATAGTCGGTCATTTTCTCCATTTATATTAATATAATTAATCAATCAAATTAGTGCTTTCTAAACAGCTTCTTTCCTTTTGTCTCATGAATATTGCTGAAATGAGATCGGGAAGAAGTTAATACAATGAACTGATTCCATGTGAAGTGGCCAGTGGCCCTAATTAACCCAGACATTTGGTTTTGATGTTGATAAATAGAGTGTGTTTGATTCACCATCTGCTACAGCTGCACTCAGGTGCATCCAAACCCACGACAGGTGCTGCGATTCCTCCCCCACAACCTCACATACACACAAAACCAGCGCCAGCTTTCTCTGCCTGCTAAGAATATTCTATAGGCTTAATGTTACTCAAAAGTGGTATTTTGAGGCTGATAAATATTTTAATGTGCATTGTAGTGTTTGAATTTCATTAACTAATGACTTAATGTGAAGTGTTGCAATTTAAAAAATATTTTTTTGAATTTGTAAATAAAACAGATTATTGGAATACATTTTACAAGAAAATACCCTTTCAGTTGTTCTTAAACGTGAAAATTTCACATTTAAATGTTACTTGTCACTTCTTTGTTATTGTAAATTTTACTAGCAATTTTTGAGTGAAAGTTGTTTGTACACAATTTTGTTTTCTTCACTGTACTAAGAATATGTATTTTATTTTTCACGATGGAAACTGGTTTGGATCAGGAGATGATCTTGACTTGTTTATCTGTCCCATTGATCATACCTAACCTGCTATCAAGCGTGCAAAGATCATTTAAGAAATGTTATTACTCATAACTAAGAATAAATGTAATAGTATTATGTCATAGTCAACTCTAGATGACCTATCAAAACTCTTTCCATTATTATTATTTTTTTTTACAGCAGTGCGAGTCATTAGAAAACGTTGCACAGATTATTGTCATAACCAACTTAATTTGAATATTTTGCAAATAAGGCCTGTGGAAAAAAGTCCATATCCAGCCCTGAGCTAATATAATATAAATGTTAATGAAGATTTGTGCAGTGAGCTGGGAGATGAGTATTTATAATGCTGCAAAACCACTTTAACTTTTGGATATGAAATTGGATATTGGATTCCTTCTTTCCTTTTTTGCAGGAGGATATAGTAACACAGCCGACTGTAAAATAAATTAGGCCAATACTGAGTAATGAAAAAATGTGACTATTTGGCGTATTCCTATCAGTTTAAGCCGATATGAAATTTGAAACCTGTATAATTGCTTTCAGTCTTATTTGGGGAATGGTAATGCAGCTGGAATCCATCCAAATGCAAAAGTTTCATTCATAATGCATCCATGTATAAAATAATGATAATTGGATTCTGAAAAGTATTTTGTAAACAACAAATGTCATGCCATGTCCTTGTGATTTTGTTTAGGCTACGATAAAGTCATTGCATATAAAAATGTTGCTGCGAGATTTCACTGAAAATAAATGCAAATATGGCTGTCATAAGTCAGTATGACAACATAGTCGGTCATTTTCTCCATTTATATTAATATAATTAATCAATCAAATTAGTGCTTTCTAAACAGCTTCTTTCCTTTTGTCTCATGAATATTGCTGAAATGAGATCGGGAAGAAGTTAATACAATGAACTGATTCCATGTGAAGTGGCCAGTGGCCCTAATTAACCCAGACATTTGGTTTTGATGTTGATAAATAGAGTGTGTTTGATTCACCATCTGCTACAGCTGCACTCAGGTGCATCCAAACCCACGACAGGTGCTGCGATTCCTCCCCCACAACCTCACATACACACAAAACCAGCACCAGCTTTCTCTGCCTGCTGTTAAGAATATTCTATAGGCTTAATGTTACTCAAAAGTGGTATTTTGAGGCTGATAAATATTTTAATGTGCATTGTAGTGTTTGAACGAGCCACATGAATAACCTTATGACCACCAGTAAATATTATTTTATTCTTAAAGGAACAGTTCACACAAAAAATAAAATTAGCCAAAAACGTACTCACCCTCAGGCCTTCCAATATGTAGATGAGTTTGTTTCTTCTTCAGAACAAACTGGAGAAATTTACTCAAAATGTGTCTTCTGCAGTGAATGAGTTCAAACAGCTGATAAAAACATCATAATAATCCACACTCCGTGCCGTCAGAATGAGAGTTTGTAAGAAACAATCATTAAGACGTTTTTAAATTCAAACCATTGTTTTCGGCTAAAATAAGAGTCCTCTATCCATAATGTTGCTTTTTGCAGTGAAAAGGTAATCTTGTCTGATTCAGGAGAGAAATCTGCACAGATCAAGCATCATTTACAAAGAAAACGGTTCTAAACAAACATGACGGGGGATTTGTGAGAGGACAACAGGGGATGGACTTCCTCACTGGAGGAGGGTTATTATAGATTATGGACTTGTATTTTAGCTGGAACCAGCATTTTAAAATTAAAACCCCTTAATGATGTTTTAGTTTCTTACAAACATGCAGCTTTTCATGTCATAAGACATTAATTGAAGGACTGGAGTTGTGTGGATTATTGTGAGGTTTTTATCAGGTGTTTAGACTCTCATTCTGACGGCACCCATTCACTGGTGAGCAAGTGATGTAATGCTAAATTTCTTCAAATCTGTTCTGATGAAGAAACCAGCTTATCTATATCTTGGATGGAAATTTGCTTTTTTAAGTTTAACCATTCCTTTAAAGCCAATGCCTTTTAGACTGAATTTGAAATATTGCATTCGTTTCCGCTTCACAATAAATATAGAAAAAAAAAAACATTTTTTTTTTATTTTCGTAATTTTTATATAGTGATTGTAATGGCAGTCTTTTCCTAAACCACAAAGCCTATAGCCAGACAACAAATGAAACAACTGAAAATACATTAAAATAATAACATGCCAATCATAAAAATATCTTTACAAATAGTTTACATTTCTATACAATATGAAGTAATATTACTAGGTCTCTGAGCTGAGCTGTTATGAGACCAGCGACCTAAACCGTATAGAATAACCTTTCTCTCAAACATGACACTGATTTCAAAATATAGAAGAGTCAAATGTTTCTAATGGATCCATTTTCAATCAATCTTTTTCTTTTTTTATGCTATACACATCTTTCCACATTCTGATTTAAACAAACAAATTATGTACTGTAGCAGAATGAAAATGTCAGCAGAACGAATATGAATATTCTGAAGCTTTTTCTGTAAATCTGCCATACAAAAATAGAGTTCATTATAACACACTCCATACTGAATGACATCATAGAGAACAGAAACAGTGACTACTACATGTCGCTCCGATTCACACACATATGCATGATAAAACGAAATACAGCGGCAATATCATCTTTACAGTATCATTACAAATTATGACACATTAAGACATAATTAAGTGTTTAGAGTTACTGCGGTCTGACAATATTTCAGTCATCCTGAAGTGTCTAAGTTTAAGAAGTCTGATGAAACTGGCAGTATGGAGCTAAAATGTGTTCATTAAACCAAGTACTTGACTAGTTATTTTACTTGATTTGATCTGGGAAAATTATATGTATTTTGATCCATGGAGTACAAATACACATTACACACACACACACACACACAAAGAAAAATGGGGATGCAGACGCAAGTAATCAAAAACAAGCTGACACAAAAAAAGTTTTGGCTTCTAATGAAACACGTTCATTGTCAGACCTCATATTTTAACATCTTTAAAATTCTAGAATTATTTAAATAAGTTCTCTGTTAATACTGAAGGTTTCAAAAATGCCATGTTACATTTCTGACATTTAAGACTCATTTTTCACTCACAGACCGTAAAAACCTTTCATCTTTGCTTAAGGAAAATTATCCTTGAGGGAAAAACCAAACTTTAGTGTATGCATGAGGAACCTTTTCCTGGAGATATGCAAATCATATATGATTGAATGTGCCAGATGCTATTAAATGAAAAACAGCTGAAGTGACTAGCAGATGCTAAACTTGTCAAAATATTTGCTCTGCATCTAATCAGCCAATCGAGAGCCTTCATGGCCTTTTTGAGAAGAGATGTCCGTCTTCACAGAGTTTCATGTCTTCTGTTCAATGCAGAGTTGATTTCTTCTCTGGATGTAGAACTCTACAAACAAGACTGGATTGCACTTATTTGTATCTGTGATCAATATGATTCATTCAGTCGGTATGAAAATGATTCAGTAAATAAATGCACTTATGAAAGTAAGAATATATACTGTATTAAATCATTTAAATACATCTATGAAATAAAATACAGAGGGCACAATAAACTTACCTTCAGTTGTCAATATCAGACACATGATTCTCCATCTGAAACAAATAAAAAAGAAAATCAGTTTAGGAATACAGAATAGCTCAGCAAAATCTGATCTTTCAAATTAGAAATGCACTTTTATAGACCCAATTTTAATAAACTGCTATGAGCAGTTATAGTCTCACTAATTGAAATAAATGCTATTCTCTTGAACTATTAAGCAGCACAAATGTCTTCAATGATAATAAGAAGAAATGTTTCTTGAGCAGCAAATCAGCATATTAGAATGATTTCTGAAGGATCATGTGACACTGAAGACTGGAGTAATGATGCTGAAAATTCAGCTTTGCATCACAATCACAATTATACTTCACAATATATTAAAATGGAAAACAATTATTTTAAATTGTAATAATATTTTACAATATTACTGCTATATATATATAGTATAAGTATATAGAGTGTGTGTATGTATATATATATATATATAAACTATAGTTAGATATATAACTATTTCTCCACAGATGATATTACTGAGAAAAAATTTGCAGTCTAGACCCATTTAGTTATGGCTTTTCAGTGTATTGAACTATCCATTTTATCCCCAGAATTACAAAAACTTTCCATCTAATAGAGGTACAGTATTTAATTTGGTATCACATCAAAAAGAGGTATCCAATTAATCGAACCATTTTGTGTGTAAAATGCCTCAGGTGGTCCATGAAGACTTTATTTCTAACTCATTCACATCATATCTAACAGCCCATACTCTTTTAGACAGGCAGATGAATATTAACAAAAGCAACAGATGTATTCTGATAGTCTAGCCATTCATCTACTGAGAAAGAGCAGCTCAGGATCTCAAAAGACCTTGAGATTTACTCGCTCAATATTTACATTCATCATAATATATAAACAATCCTGTGACCTCAAGTTCCCTTTTGTAGAAACATATTCAGGGTCCAAAATCACTTCTCTAGAGTTTCTTTTAAAAAGTCTAGCCAATTTTTATCTGTATTGTTTGGGTATCTACCAAACCCAGCTGTATTGGTGGTCACGCTCTGACCGGAAATGTCTGTAACACTGTTGGGAATCTTTTCAGCGGGATTTCGCCTCGACGTTTCCCTCCAGTTTAACCAACGCAGGAGCTCATTAAAATACAGTCAGCCTGTCTCCTCAGTGGGAAGCACATCCTAAATCTTAATTTGACTTTGCTGTTGGGCGCGGTGCTGCTGGACCCCAGTGTCTCCAGAGGTTCTGACTCGGTTTTAATTACAGAGCGTGACAGGGGAGGGTTAAGAGAGCAGGAAGCAGCCCAGCAGAACCCTGTCAGCTTCTGCTCTCCCAGCCCTGCGTCTCTCATGTCCGCAACCATGAATAAATCTGCAGAATTAGCTTCAACGGGGCTTTTCAGAGCCACTGCTGCCAGTAAGGCCTGCGGGGGGCCAACGTACCAGATCAGTGCTGCCTTCCTCATCGTAGTCATCCTCGCCACCATCCGTCATTTCTCCCGCCTCCGCATCCAGCTGTCCTTCCCCTCCCTCCTCTCCGGAGTTGTCTGCCATCTCTGATATCGACCCCTCGTGTAAAGAGTCGCAGTTGTCCTCATATTTCCTATGAGGCTCTGAAGGAACGACGCAGAGATATGAGACGATTATGGCTTTTATCACAAACATTGGTCATACTGAGAGCAAAATTACTTGTTTTTTCATCCCAAAATGATTTTTTTCACCTAAAGATTTAGATAGCACTTAATAGATAGCAAAAAAAAGATAGCACTTGCATATCATTGCTCTTTTGTTGATTTTGATTGCTTCCATTGTCCTCATTTGTAAGTTGCTTTGGATAAATCTGTCGCATCTGCTAAGTGACTAAATGTAAATGTAAAAATTAAAATGTTATCACTCAAAAATGTTTACAATTTGTCATTCCAAACCAGTTAGACTTTCTTTCATTCCAAGAAATATGAAAGAAGTTAGGCAGAATATTATATGCAAACATGATGTATGTTTTTTTAAACTGAACAGGTTTATTGAACTTTTAAAAATACATTTAAAAAAATGCATGTGTTTTTTGTTGAATATCATATTTGATATATCAGGTTTTATGGCTCATATATGTAGTATCATACAGTAAGTATACTTGAGGAGGAAAAAACGCCTCGGTTTTATTCAAACTGATCAAAAATATGCACTTTGGTGCAAATGCTAATATTTATATGGTCAAAAAGTACTATTAAATTTACTTGTTTTTTCATCCCAAAACGATTTTTTTTCACCTAAAGATTTAGATAGCACTTAATAGATAGCAAAAAAAAAGATAGCACTTGCATATCATTGCTCTTTTGTTGATTTTGATTGCTTCCATTGTCCTCATTTGTAAGTTGCTTTGGATAAATCTGTCGCATCTGCTAAGTGACTAAATGTAAATGTAAAAATTAAAATGTTATCACTCAAAAATGTTTACAATTTGTCATTCCAAACCAGTTAGACTTTCTTTCATTCCAAGAAATATGAAAGAAGTTAGGCAGAATATTATATGCAAACATGATGTATGTTTTTTTAAACTGAACAGGTTTATTGAACTTTTAAAAATACATTTAAAAAAATGCATGTGTTTTTTGTTGAATATCATATTTGATATATCAGGTTTTATGGCTCATATATGTAGTATCATACAGTAAGTATACTTGAGGAGGAAAAAACGCCTCGGTTTTATTCAAACTGATCAAAAATATGCACTTTGGTGCAAATGCTAATATTTATATGGTCAAAAAGTACACTTTTTTTTTTTTCAGATTTGTAAATTAAACAGATTATTGGAAAACGTTTTACAATAAATATTATTTCAGTCTATTTTTCAACTTCAAAATTTCATATTTAATTCTTATTGATTCTTTGTAATTATATGTGAAATTTACTAGCAATTTCTGAGTGAATATTGATTATACCATTTTTAATTAAAAAAATTTTATAATGTAAATCAATGTGATCTTTATAATATTATAGCAGACAACTTACATAAAATATATATAAATAGGTTTCCAATCTATATCTCCCAGTCATGTCTTATTATTATGATATTTAAATGCTTAGTTTTATGCTCAAAGCTCTATATCATATTAAATACATTTTAACACACTAAAAAAATCCTCGCCACCATCCGTCATTTCTCCCGCCTCCGCATCCAGCTGTCCTTCCCCTCCCTCCTCTCCGGAGTTGTCTGCCATCTCTGATATCGACCCCTCGTGTAAAGAGTCGCAGTTGTCCTCATATTTCCTATGAGGCTCTGAAGGAACGACGCAGAGATATGAGACGATTATGGCTTTTATCACAAACATTGGTCATACTGAGAGCAAAATTACTTGTTTTTTCATCCCAAAACGATTTTTTTTCACCTAAAGATTTAGATAGCACTTAATAGATAGCAAAAAAAAAGATAGCACTTGCATATCATTGCTCTTTTGTTGATTTTGATTGCTTCCATTGTCCTCATTTGTAAGTTGCTTTGGATAAATCTGTCGCATCTGCTAAGTGACTAAATGTAAATGTAAAAATTAAAATGTTATCACTCAAAAATGTTTACAATTTGTCATTCCAAACCAGTTAGACTTTCTTTCATTCCAAGAAATATGAAAGAAGTTAGGCAGAATATTATATGCAAACATGATGTATGTTTTTTTAAACTGAACAGGTTTATTGAACTTTTAAAAATACATTTAAAAAAATGCATGTGTTTTTTGTTGAATATCATATTTGATATATCAGGTTTTATGGCTCATATATGTAGTATCATACAGTAAGTATACTTGAGGAGGAAAAAACGCCTCGGTTTTATTCAAACTGATCAAAAATATGCACTTTGGTGCAAATGCTAATATTTATATGGTCAAAAAGTACACTTTTTTTTTTTTTCAGATTTGTAAATTAAACAGATTATTGGAAAACGTTTTACAATAAATATTATTTCAGTCTATTTTTCAACTTCAAAATTTCATATTTAATTCTTATTGATTCTTTGTAATTATATGTGAAATTTACTAGCAATTTCTGAGTGAATATTGATTATACCATTTTTAATAAAAAATTTTTTATAATGTAAATCAATGTGATCTTTATATTATAGCAGACAACTTACATAAAATATATATAAATAGGTTTCCAATCTATATCTCCCAGTCATGTCTTATTATTATGATATTTAAATGCTTAGTTTTATGCTCAAAGCTCTATATCATATTAAATACATTTTAACACAATAAAAAAAAAAAAAAAAAGTAAGGACAAAAAATGGTTTCAATCGCTTCAGTCCTGTCAGTGTTCATCTTGAAATATTACTAACAATATAAAAATTATTCTTATGTTTACTTTATGAAAATAAGTAAAGATTTCACAGCAAAAAAAAAAAAAAAACATGAACCACAACCTGTTTTTAGAATTATACTAAAAGTATTTTTTTACTTGCTAAAAAAAAGTCTAAACTATCAATTAAATGAAAGAAGCCATGTAATAGATTATGTGCAACAGGTTTCTCTGCAAAATTTTGATCAGGTTGATAATTTAGAGGCCTTAGAAATTTGCTTAGAAAATATACAGTAGGCTTTATATTACAGTAAACTGTAGAAGTTCAGCAATACGGGTTTAGAATGACTTGAGGGAGAGTAAATGATGAAAGAACTGTAATTTTCTTTTTCTTGAATCTGTATGGATCAAGCACATGCAATAGACCTAAAGTTTGACTCGTGAATGTGCGACTAGCATTGTGCCGTTTCTCAGTGTGTCTGCTAGATGAAAACAGTGCTCTCCTCTACTGGCGAACATAGCGAAATGGGTTTTGCTATAGTAAAACAGCGCAAGATTGCCTGTATAAAAGTTCTGATAAATTGGCTGCTGTCTCCTCGCCTGTCACAGAGATGGATAGCGCATATACACTCCCAATATTTCTCCCCGTACAGCCGATGTTTTCAACCTTATCCCACTAGACTGGATTTTATTCCTGCTCTCTTATAGTTCTCTGTCTGTCTCACCACACTCGGATCTCTGCTGTTTCTCGATCTTCTCCAGGCGGCCCAGAAGAGAGTCGATCTTCATCTTGATCTGAGTCAGTTCACGTTTGATAGTCTGGAGTTGATCAGACTTCACTGCAAAAGAAAATGCAATGAACACACATGAGGCAAGATCTGAGGAGATTATCGGGCATTCATGCTCATCCTTCAATCACCACAGTTAATTCATGTCTGAAGACTCGTTCAGGGCTGTTGGTTCTAAACTAAGAGTTCAAAGAATTCCCTGTCCTGCTGTTTTTAATTTAGTTTTATCCATAATCTCATTCCGACACACTGGTTGATATCGGCAAATGCTAGACCATGTTACTCCACGTGTTTTAATGGATACGGCTTTTATCAGTCAATAAAACCTAACAAGACCTGTTTTCAGCCTGTTGGAAATACAAATGATCACGTTTGAAGCTTTTTTTCTGTTACTTGACTCTGGATTTAATATCAGCATGCTGTTCATTACATACTGCAATAAAAAACATGCAAAAAATATTTATTGGCTATTTAGTGGCAAATAGTAAATCAAACATTAAATTATGAAATGTGTTATGACAAAAATCTAGCGTAGCGTTAGTTCTGGCAGGTCACGTTAGTCAAGCTCGCATCAGCTGATTCTCAGCTGATCCCCATCTACCTATAGGAATATGACACCTATCTAAGCATTCATATATAAGGTCCCTCAGTATTATCAGCAGTTTTCGCATTGCTCAATAGCTAATTAAATGGCGATTTCGGCAGACAAAACACCATTAGCAGGAATCAGGAATTTAGAGAAGTGGAATTAATTTCCCCAATGGTCTCACCTCCGATTCATTTAAGTTCGTTAACTTAAACACGTGAATTCACCGCATTGATCATAAGCCGCCTGATTCGGAAGTAACTGAGTTAGCATTACTTCACGCATCGCTACATAATTGACATGGACTCCACGAGTTATGTAACTGACTTCAGATGGGAACTTCATCCCCAAGAAGGATATCAAGAGATCAAGCATCCCCGTCACAGCTGCTTTGTTTCACTCTCTCGAACGTCTTCACAAGCTAAGGTCCTTTTAATGCTCTCAGGTTTGGCAACATGCATGTTGCTAAGGCTATCTGTCTTGCTTAGGCTCATTTAGTTGTTTTCAGTTACATGCTTGTGTTGTGCTAGTTTATGTGACCTATTGGCAATGTGCGGTACTTATCTGTTGTCACTGGCAACACGCTTGTCGCTGAATATGCTGCACTTAAAGGGGGGTCTAATGCTATATCATGCATTCCGAGTTGTTTACACTGTTAAGAGTTGGATTCTTATGTGCACGCGCGCACTCAGCGACCCGAGCGAGAGCGAGCCGCTCTACGCGTTTCGTTTATGGTTAACTTACTGAAGTCATCGGCTCAGCGCTGCAGTTACTTGCTCGAGAAGACTGTCTCTAAAGATGTGTGTTTTTGGATGTGAGGAAAAAATGACCTTCTTCAGTGTTATGTGAACAGTGGATGCAATTAGTTTTTTCCGGGGCAGCAATGGAGTTTCACGAGCGTGTTTGTTGTTCCCGTGACGAATGTTTTATAACAAGGTACATTCTGACACTGGATTTGTACATAGTTTGATACTGAAAGACAGAGCAGTCCCAGCGATAAAAGATCCCGGTCATGACTAGGAACT